ATTCCTTCTTTAAAAGAGTATGGCCTAATATATCTGGCCTACAGGTGTAATCATAGAGGGAATATCCTCTGATTGGCAGAATAACTAACTGATAACAAACTCTGGKAAATATCATGGAGGGAATATCTTCTGTCGACAGAATCACCCTCTCAGTGTGTAACTAATTCTGAGGCTCTGTCGCCTGTCCCTGAGGCTCTGTCGCCTGTCTTTTCTGCTTCCTTGAGTACTGCTGATGGGTAGTGGCCTGCTCCACTCCCTGTGTTGGGTTTGGGGAAGGTATTTGGGTCCCAACAAAGTGCAAGTACAGAAGAACTGGGGTTGTTCTTTTTGGGGGAGAGGACTTTTGATTGAAAGGTATTTATGGAGTTATAAGAAAGAGAAAGAAGCAGATATTCTAAAAGTAATTTTGAAGAGGGTGCTAGTGGTAGTTTCGGATGGTTCAAAAATCAGATTTTTTTTTTATAAAAATTAATATATCTAAATAGGGAGCTTATTCTTTAGGAAGGTTGGTTGGTCAGGATGTTTAGATGAGTGAAATTGGGATATCGTAACATGGATACTTGTGGATTCTATCATGTTCCTGGATTATATATGGGATTCACAAAATCATGGATTACTAGTTCCCATCACTTTGTGAATTTGAGAAGTAGACCTCCTTAACATCTTCATATTTTAGAAAGATGCCATTTGTTGCCTACGCATTTGAAAAGGAAATGCAGATGAGCAAGTAATAAGGATCAAAACCTGCTCAACATGTTCAAAGAAAACGAGATAAGTATGTAGAAAATCAGTAAATGTTCTCACCTTACTTGGCACTTGGAAACCCCCGGATACTATGACCATTGTACATTTACATAGGTGTAAGCTTTCTTATCAAGAAAATATATATAGGAACGAGATCACTCATACCTCTAGTTTCAAATTGTCAAGCTTCATTAAGACTGGCTACCAGGATAAAAGTACTCAACACTGTTTTCCTTGACCTTGAAATGGAAATTTCTTAACTTGGTTCTCAAAGTACCATTTTCATCAATAATTCCCTTGTTCACAACCATCAACTGCAACATACAAGGAGGAAAATAGGAATTAGTAGATTGAAGGGAAAGATTTGTGTTGATGTTAACACCCTAAAAAAACGCAAATCTGTAGTTGGATGCAACTTGAAGTGATGGGTGAAAGAATATTTCACTGATCATAGCATGACAATCAGTGAAACATATTTTCAAATTTCAAGTCACTTAGATTTTAGGTTCTCCGGTAAAGAGTGTTTCATTGGTTATTGATAAAAAAGAATATTTCATTGATCAAACAATTAAAAAGTTAGATAGTTCACATCAACAAATTCAAACCTGGTTGTATTTTTTTTATAGTAAAAATAAAATTCATTAAAAAGAAAAAACGATTACAACCTGGAGAGGTGTGGAGGGAACACCTCCAAATAAAACTAAGGACCAACAATCTCCCAAACACTTTCTTTGAAAACTTTACACCCATATCCATCACATCAACCCCACAAAACTCTTACTAAACCAAACACCCCAAAAGAAACATAAAACTAAAACCCAAAATTTGAAACTGTCACATTAACATACAGACAAAATCCAGGGTCCAAAAACATAACAACCACAGCTACGCAATTCCCCTCCCCTTTCACCCACAACTTGAACCTCTGAGTAAGATGCACTGCAGCTTGAAGGCAACAAAACAGAAGAAAACTCCCACCTCCCCCCGTCAGACCCAAGCCTTCTACATCCTCAAACAGAACCTCCTTCCCGAAATTATTCAAATTTAGTTGTATGACAGATAGTTCAGATCAACAAATTCAGATTTGATTGTATGATCCAGTGTAAATATCCCTTAGACTAATTACTAGAGCAACTCAGTATCAGATGTCAAATTTCTTGATCAAGAAATGCTTTTTCTTCCAAATTGTAGAAAGCAAAAGACAAAGATGATGTGATGAAAACATATGGGGCACCAATAACCAGAGCATAGTTGTCAAGGCGTCGCCTAGGCGCCCTTGGCTGGGCGCCTCACCCAAACGCCTTGACTTTTAGCAACTAGGCGCCCTTCTAGGCGACAAAAATGACAAGGTGGGTGCCTTTTATAATATCATTTATATTGCTGTATCTTATTAATGCATGTGCTAATATATTTTATTATATGCTATATATATCAATTATACTTTGTTTTAATGTTTTACTATTGAAATTTAAAAGATCAAAGGGTTTTGAGAAGAGAAAAAGAAAGAATAGAAGAATATTCTTTTTTCTATTCTCTCTCTCTAATTAAATAAAGCTGAAACTCCATCCTTGTTTTTTTTTCTATTTTACTTTCCATTTTGAATATTTATCATATAAAGTTAATAACCTTCTTTAGCTACTAATTAATATGAATTTGCTCTATTAAATACTTATTATAGTAGCATTATTTTTGAAAAAGAAAGAAATTAATATATGTAAAAGTTTTGTATCTTTTAGATGTGATGATTTGCCACATTTTTAGAGGAAATTTAATGTTCTTAATAAAGAGAATTGTTATTTCCTCGATTAACATACATGCTGAATGGGTATATAAAACTAGGAAACTAGCCAAAAGTAAGTTTTTTTTTTATATTATAATTTTTTATCACCTAGGGCCAGTGTGGGCCAGTGTGGCCCAGAATTGTCTAGACGCCTTGAAAACTATGAACCAGAGTGATACCTGTCCATGCACATCAGAAGCCAAACCAGTTGCTAGAGGCTCTGCTTTTATCACAATGTCTGCAATATATTCCATTTCCAGAATAAGTGTAGGTCCTGTCAAGCTTGAATAAATGTCCTCATGATTTAGTACAACTAGTGAGCAGCCCTAATACAAGAAGAAAGTAAAGAAAAATAGAGTTATGAAAAGGAATCAGATGCAATACAAAATTAAAGTGCTACAAAGAACTAATAGAAAGTTGTCCATGAGTCTTACAGGTCCTAAGGTGAGAGTGTGACAGTAATGCAGAAAGTCTAAGACATGATTTGAAGAACCATGAGCAGCAACCTCCATAAGAGATATATCATCTATCATAATTGTAATAGGATTCTTGCTTTGATCAGGTAATGCATCAGTTTCTATAGTTTTTTGGATCTTCCCATACAATTCAAGCAGTTGACCTTCAATGATTTTTCCTCCATCTCCATCTAATCATGAATCCAGTGGAAAAAGAATTACTGTTATGTAATGAACTAATGCAATAAATATATCCGACTAAAAAATAATGCAATAAATATATTCACGTTATTCTAAGATGACAATTAGGGCTGGATATGAATTTAGGAAGATAAGTAGTTCCGTTTTTCAGCTAATATTCACTTGATTGGTTATTTTGCAAGAAGCCAAGTTGGTTACAAGTTGTTTTCTCATGCGTAGATGGAACATCTAAAGAACAAGAAAATGTGGAACTCCACCAATCTATGGGATTGGAAGATTGCTGACATAGACAGAAGTGCTTGTTTTATTGCTTATGTTGCAAGCTCAAACACCATTGATGGTGGTACTCATTATGCTACGACTTGAAGGACCATGTGCTATGTTCAGACTAACAACTTTGATACTTGGTTGTTTCACATTGTTTTTTTTTTTTTTTGATAAATTAGTTGTTTCACATTGTGTACCAAAATCTGCAGATAATTAAAAGTTGATGATTGCTAGTATTCATTGGAATTACAACAATATATAAAAAATGTGATGTAGATGCCAAGGAATGACCAATTTTACTTTGTTTCCTCACCTAGACAGCCCAGCTTAAGCATGTCGAAGAAAAATAATCTGTTATTGTCTCTCTGTGCAACCAAGTTGCAACCCTGTTTAGAAGAAACATATGAATAATTTAACAAGAATCGTGAATTGAGAAGATCATTCAGTGTCTCTAGAGCATATGAATCCTATTACATAAGTCATAAAAAAAAAATAAGTTATGCCACTAATGAGTTAACAATTAATATGTTTGACACTATGCCCCCCAAAAAAATTATGATAGAACCAAGATCGAAGCATCTTACAAGTTTTCTTAAGATGCGGTCATAATGAGAAAATGGTTGTGCGAGGGCAACAAAGAGCACGATACCAGAGCAGTTGAGGGAGAGAGCATGTTTCATGAGGTGGTGAAGAACAAATGAGCCACTGGTCTCAACACTGTCCTCAATGAGCACAACTCGACCTGAAGGTGAAACCCTAGCTTTGCTATTAAATCCCAAAGCTTCGTCGAGCAGATTTGAATGGTTATCCATGTTTCTACTGTTCAGTGATGATGGCAAATTTGAGGTTTTCCAAAAATGGCCTAATGGTTTCTAAGTTTGAACTTTGAACTCAAGCATCAATTTCCTGCTCCTGGAAATGAAAACACTGAAACTTGTCAGTGTTTAAAAGCAAACAGTACCAAACATCTGGGCAGAGTTGAATCAATTTTGATTTGGTTGGGTTTGTTCAAATCTGACCCAAATGACAATAAACCATAAAAGCTGGGTGGGGTTCCAAGAAGGTGCTTTGGTTGAGCACTTAACTATAGGGATTTGTTTGTTTACAATTTGCTTAAGTTGCATATACGTTTGGTAAAATGTGCTAGCTATTGAAAAGCCCAATAGAATGTCTTATTTCACAAAATGCCCCTGTTGAACTCTCATATTATTTGCGATTGGTTATTGTTACCTGGTTTTTTTCAGTGACTGGTTGGAAAAGAAAAACCCTAATAGAATTTAGATCAAATAACCCAATTCCATAGTTGTCAAGGCGACAAGGCGCCCTTTGAGACTCACCTCGCCTAATCGCCTAACAGTTTTTTGCTTCCTACTATAAAATACTTTTTTATTCATTCTTTTTTGAGATTATAATTATAAAATAGACATTATTAGACTAAAATAATCATTTTGTGTGTTTATATACTAATTTCTTTTTATTATTTTCTT